TTAAGTTAAAATGAATTTAAATATTTTCTGGGCTACAGAGAGAGGTCATACCATGGTGGTAGTTGGGAGAACACAAGTTTTGGTCTTGTTATCAGCTATCAGTGCACCCAGGCTTCTCCCAGTCTCCTCGCAGTCTGCCTAGGAGGAAGGGATAGGGACCTTACTGGGGTGCCCAGATGTTGGTTGGCCTGCTCTGGTTGGAGTGACTGGCTGATGGCTCAGGTGTGGGTGTGCTGAGGGGAAGGCAGGAATCAGACTCTCACCTATTTTCCTTCTTTTTCTGTATCAAGACATCAGTTCAGGACTCACAGAAAGATGTTGTCGCGCTCATTTTTCTTCCCTTTGTGCCTTCTCGGTCTCTGTAACCTACTGCTGGGAAACAGAATTTAATCACTGGACACCTGCATTGCTAATAAACTCTGTCTCCTGCTCTCCACAGGGTCAGGAGACATGGGCATGGGGCCTCAGACAAGTATGGACATCTTCCGCTCAATGTCATGTCTTTACTGACAGCAACAATTTCTTGCAGTTAGGCTCCTGCAGCAGGTCGTTAACCTGGGGGCAACAGCCGCTTGTCTCTATTTAACTTCACTGCTTAATTTGAGCTTCATGTTCAGACCCCAGTGTTTCACTGTTGCTTCCTTTCCTCTCTGTTCTTCTTTTGATTGAGGGGTATAAAGCAGAGACAATTCTTATTAATAATCTAAATCAACCTTTGCCTTTCTACACCTCACCTTCAGGAAGAAGACTACAGTGAACAAAATGAGCTCTGTAACACTCAATAAGGAAAGAGCAAAACCAGCCATAAAAGTCAACTTTTCTGTAAAATTGTGACAGCAGAAAATGCAGTCTCTGAATATTGCAGGTCACTGTTAGGCCAAAAATGTCTACTTACCTGGACTAAGGACTCAGAGCACAGCTGAAGGATCACTGGGAGAATTTGTTTCTGTTTGGGCTGCTTGTACATCGTAAGTGCTTCAGAAAGGTCCCTGGCCTGCTGAGTGCCATCTCCAGGAAAGCAGGGCTCCATCCCATGTAACGGTGACTTGGGAAGACAAATGCCATTGCTCTGAACGTCCCCCCCTTCCTTCTTCTTCTGCCAGCTTTATATGCTGAGCATGGCGTCATATGGTGTGGGATAGCCCTTTGGTCAGTTGGGGTCAGCTGTCCCAGCCGGGTCCCCTCCCAGCTAAGAAGTGCAGTGGGGTGAGAAGCAGAAAAGGCCTTGCCTTTGTGTAAGCACTGCTCAGCAACAATGAAAAAATCCCTGTGTTATCAACATTGTTTCCAGCACAAATCCAAACTGTAGCCCTATACTAGATATTAGGAAGAAAATTATCTCTATCCTAGCCAAAACCGGCACAAGAGTTCAACCAGCCTGAAATAAAAGTACAGCATTTGCACAGTGAAATCCCCGAGACTGGAATTTTATTTGCATGGGTTCAAGACTAGTTTTGATAGATCAGTGTAGCAGCTGTTTCATTGCTCCTGCCTCTTAAGAATTACCTTTGTTTTTTCCAAGGTCTGAGGACACTTAGAAAATTTTACTTTGGTTTATGCAGATTACACTAATGTCTTTTTATATATGATCTCTAAGTATTCAAATTGGGCCAGTCTGTTTCTGTCTTGCTTTGGTAGGTATTTTTGTACAGGTGAAGCTGAGATGCATATTAGCAGCTTTTCTTACACTAGCCAAGTGCAAGGTTAATAGTTTTCAGGTTTTTTCTTGCGTTATTTGGAAGCTATAATTCCAAGAATACAAAAATGGAGCATTTTGTCCAGTTTCAAATATTCACCACTACTAGGGGATTAGAGATCAATTATAAACATTTTTAGCTTTCTTATTTCTTTTGGGGGAAAATAAATCATTAGAACATAATGAAAAATGGGCAATGTTAGACAGTAGGGTCCCAGGGATAGGTACTACAGACCTTTTGAGATTGTATCCTAACAAAGCTAAAATGTGGAAGGAATTAAATGGAGAAGGTAGTAGGACCACTGTCCTTTAAAAACAACAGTACAAAATCTCATCTTTGAAAATGAGTTTCAATGGCTTATGCTGCAGAGGAAATCAGTGTGGCAACAGGAAAACATTGTCAAAATTACAGTCTCAGTTTTCAGAAAAAGGAGATTGAAACAGAGACGGGAGCCAGAGAGAATATAAAGGTTTCCAGGTCCAGCTTCTGTTTGTCAATTTAATTCCAGTTTGGTTTCTTCCTCTCTGAACATAGTTTAAATAATTTTTACTTACTTATTTATTCCCCCTTTGCTCAAAAATCTAGAAGGCCATTAGATGTCAAGTCTCTGCCCCTGCTGTCAGAAACTCCTCAGGCTATGGGTATTTCTGAAACCCACATCCCCTTCCTCATTCACTGTGAACCTCAGCATCATGATCTCATTTTTTCACTGAAAAATCGCACAATTTAGGATTATCAGCCTTGAGAGAATGTGATATATTCTGTGATTGTGCAGTGGGGTCTGGACTATGTTTGGAATCTGTATTTTAATTTCTTACTTTGTAACTCAAAGTCATCTGTGGTTAATAGGCCGGTTACTCTATTGAAAAGATTGTGTTGAAAACTAAAGATGTATCTTGGAGCATCTACAGTAAAATTTTGAGTAGAATTAGAAACTAGTTGATACAAGGCAGCTTCCAAGACTTACGGTTTTGGGTAAGAAAGGAAAGAGCAAATGGGAACAAGATGAGAAAGCAAGCTAATAAATGCAGGTAATCTCCCATAGTCCACATTTTGGACATACAACTTGGTGAGATGATGCTGAATCAGAGTTGTTCCTTACCCACTGATAAAAGCACATCTGACATGAATAAACCAACAACCCTCTAATTACCCATTCATTCCATAACATGACTGACTTAAAGAAAATAACTGTAATTTCAAAAAAACAGTATAGCATTTATATGGAGGTTAATTGCCATCTTCAGCTGCATTGGTGTCTTGGCGTGAAGTGTTTTTGCCGTGTCTCAGCCACATTTTGGGTTGGGGTCTGGAGTTGGTTACTTGGTGTAGCAGAGAGTTCAGAAGGACAAGCATCTGCTTTTGGTTTTCTTTCTTTTCGATGCATCTTGGAGCAAGGTTTTACATTTTCAGAGGCTGAAAGATCTCACAGAACTTGTTCACTATACTTATGTATACAATTCATCTGCAGAAATGTTCTTTTCATGGGTTTATAGTAAAGAAATGATTATCACCTAATGCTAAGTATATTTATGCATACAAACTTTCTGATTTCTAAATTTTTTTTTTTTTTTTGGACACACACAGTACTAAAGAATCTCATTTAAGAGGTGTTTTCTGGATACTAAGGGAGTGACATGACTTATATGGAATCCTAAACCAGTTGCTAGCTTTAGACCCCTGATCTTTTAATATCCATCGTATTTCAAACGTGTCTGCATGTGTGTCTGCATCTATATATTCAGAATAGTGTTCATTTCAGAAGTAGCTATTTTCCCATTGCCAGTCGCTAGGGTTTTTTTAGAAGTAATACAGAATATGCTGGTTGTTACAGTGTATTTTCTGCTTATGCATTAGTAGATTGAAGTCAGTATGGCTGGTGCATGCTTTACTTTCAAGAATTACTAGAAGGCTTTTTCTTCACTTTAATTATCTTTCAAAGAAGTGTAACTAGCATTTGGGAGTCCTTGTGACTTTTTTTGTTTCCATGAAAATATTCTGTTCCTTTCATAGGTTGAAGTCGTGAGAGAACATGAGAAGTGGGCGAAATACTAAATTGTGCTATAAATCAAGAAACTCTATGTGAAAATATGTATTTTTTTAATTACCTTGCTTAGATATATATTGAGCAAAAAAGCAAATGAGCTATAAAAGTTGAAGAAATGTCAGATAAACAAACTGTGACATGTGTAGTATTATTGCCATCTGACATATCTCAAACACTGATTTTACTCACTCATCCCTCATTCTTTATATCTGCATGTCTAGTGGTGCATGCATTTATATTTTATATAAAGGGCAGAGCCTGTAGTCAGAGCATTTGAGTTATGCTGTTAAAAATAAATTAAGGAACAGCAGGTGAAAATGATTCCTACACATGAATATTCAAACTGTACCTCAGTCAGATACTGTAGAAAGAATAATAAAGAGCAATGAAACTTTGATGGGGCCAAGGCGTTGATATGATATGAAATAAAAGTTTTATTGGCATGAGGTTGAGATGACTCAGAATTACTCAAGGAGTAGCATGATCTGCTCGTATGCCCCATTGCCAAAACAGTCAAGAGTTTAAAAAATTGGGGCAGGCAGTAGCACTGGGATGTTGAAGTCTAACAGTCAGGCTCTTAATCTTGATTCTTACACTCTTGTGCTTTAGTCTCTGAGCAGAATGGGTTTAGGGTCAGCAGGAGGGTGTAGGTACCTATCAATTTACGTACCTAAATTGAAGGCTGAGAGACTTGAGTTCATTCCTACTCTGGCAGCCAATTCCTGTGTATTTACATAACTTAAGGCAGGACTCACCAAGGTAGGCACTTCAAGTATACCATCAACCACATTTTTATTTTTTTTTGAGGAATAAGGAAGAAAGTGTGACTTTCACACTACTTAACTGATGGGAATCATGCTGCCATTGCTGGATTCTGTGAGGTTTCACAAGAATCGGGAGCATGACCACTGTTCAGGGACCTATGATGGGGGATTTTTCAGGGAAAAATGGGGAGCTAGAATACATTTGTGGAGCTGACATTAATTTCTGTATCACTTTTACATTGTAAGGACAAGAACATTCAGAACTGTGAAGTAGTTAGATACTCTGGCAATATGGAAGGAAGCATATTGATGGATGACTGATTTCTTTTAATGTCAACTTTTTTTTTTTTTTTTTTTTTTTTGTTTTTTTCCCAGATCCTGTCCATTGGACCACAAATTTAGGGCAATATGGAAGGAAGCATATTGATGGATGACTGATTTCTTTTAATTTCAACTTTTTTTTTTTTTTTTTCTTCTTTGCTTGCTTCACAGATCCTGTCCATGGACCACAAAACGTAGAAGTGGTTGATATTCGCTCCCGGCAGCTGACGTTGCAGTGGGAGCCCTTTGGTTATGCAGTGACCCGCTGCCACAGCTACAATCTCACAGTCCAGTACCAGTATGTGTTTAACCAGCAAAAATTTGAGGCGGAGGAACTCATCCAAACTTCTTCCCACTACACCTTGCGAGGTCTTCGGCCCTTCATGACCATTAGACTGAGGTTAGCCCTCTCTAACCCGGAGGGCAAAATGGAAAGTGAGGAGTTGGTTGTGCAGACGGAGGAAGATGGTGAGTTATGTTTGGTTTGCTTGCTTGCTTGGTTTTGGGGGTAAGACTAATATTTTCAAGTTGTAAATAACAACATAACCCTCTGTCCCATGAGACTTATAAATGGCTGCTCTGGACAGTGTGTGTGTTATGCAAGTAAAATTTGTAGGTATAAGTATTTTCTGTTTCACAGCCATGTTCTTGAAAGGGCAGGGCTCCCTGAAGTGCTTGGAAATGACAAACACCAGTCTGAGCAGTTACCAAACAGTAATAGGTTTAATTCTATAGAAGTCATGTTCTGAGCTACCCAGGACCCACAGAGCAGCTTCCTTTATCATATGGGCAAATGTAATCCTGGCATTTGTTGTTTTTTCTTGTGCCTTCACATCACTGTCCCTAAAAAGTATAATGTCTTCTTTTCCAGAGTGTATCTTATTCTCAGTGCTGGTCTTCTGGATGGTGCATTATATATAAATCTCAGAAGCTAAATTCATTTGGTGCTAACTCTTCCGTTCTTGATACAAAAGAACTGTTTTCCAGAAGTGCTGATGGAAAGCTTAAAGTGTTATTATCCCATCTGAGCTATTTCAGACCAAGGACTCTAATAGAATACAAGCCCCCATTCTGTCTAATGTGTTAAAAAATAAGTGTTCTTCCTCTGCCAGAGCTGTAAGGAGTTGCTGTCCTGAGTTTCTCTCAGCTGAAAGTGGCTCTTGCAGTCCAGTATATCATATGGGGGGACATAAGAAGATGGCAGATCTTTCAGAAAAATGAACAGGGGTTGTATTGGGCGGGCTTGGGAGTACATTTAGTTAGTTATCTTCCACAGCATAAAATTTTGCTTGAGTAGGTGGATTTTTTTAGCTGGCCTTGTAGCCGTGATGAAATATAAATCTTATATTGTTACTTTACTAAGGAAATCAGTCTTTCATATTGATAAAGGTGCGCAGCCCAGTAGCATCTTTATGCCAAGGTGCAGTCTGGCTGTTTAGGTGGATAGAGCTTTGCTGTTGTGTGGGCAGAGAAGGACAAATTAAATTCTCTGCTGGTGCTGTGCTGGAATAAGGACGTATTGAAATTAGCTATATATTGTCATGGATTCTGATTTTATTTATCACTTAGTAGTTAAATTAGGGTATTCTTATTTGAACCAAAGGTTGAGAACAGGCTTTTCGTATTGATAGTACCTTGGTAATGGTAGTGCCTTGAGAGGTTTTTTTTATTATGTTATTTTTATTTTTTTCAGCTCTGAACTTCCTGTCTGATGGCCTCTTGGTGTCTTTTGATATGTGTGCAACTGGAGGTGGTAGTAACTTCTAACATAGTTTTGGGGTTTTTTTTTCTCCCCGTAGTTCCTGGACCTGTTCCCTTGGAATCCATCCAGGGAGGACCGTTTGAAGAGAAGATCTATGTTCAGTGGAAGCCTCCCAATGAGACAAATGGCATCATTACACTCTATGAGGTGAGGAGAACAGATTGTTGTCAAGGAATACGTGCCACAGGGCCCTTTTCATATGTGTTTAAGCCAATCTTGAGCTCTGAGAGATTTCAGCAGGTGCTAGAAGAAGCCTGATTAAAATAGATAAGAATCTTCAAGATAGTCTGCTGCTGTCACTGAAAAAGTTTTCCAGTTCAAAAAAGAGAAAAGATTTCTTTACCAATATTTGTGGCAACATGAGAGCCATAGATTCCCCCATGTCTCAAGTGTTCAATTCCTACCCTTTTTTTTCTGCAGTATTTCCAAAGTCTGTTTTCTTTCCTTTTTCTCTTGAGGTAAACTTCTGCTAGGTTTTATGCGTAAATACTGCAACTAATTCCTCTCTGCCTTTCCAATAGTCATAACATTTCCTGGCCATCTCAGCAGAATATAGCCATTAAGTCTTATCTTAGTATTCTTATTGAATCTTTCAATGATAGATCTATCTAGCCCAACCACTTTCCCTGCTGCCAAACAAAATATACAGCAGGTTATAGGGTGATCACTGACCATCCTATACTGGATGAAAAAAAAAAAATTAAATGTGATTCTGGAGTGTATCAGAGGAGATGTTCCTTGTTAAGGTAAGAAAGCATTACTGTTGTCATGTGCTTCTGGTGAGACTGTATCCATGTCATGTATACCCAAATATGCAGAAAAGAAATATAAAAGGAGGACTGCTTTAGAGGATCGTGTGAAATGAGAGGCAGTCCTACAAGAAAAGGTAAAGGCACTTTTATTAAAGAGTGGAAAGCAAAGCACCAGTGCTGGCTGAGCATTTTTCAGTTTATAGGTTCAGCATTTACCACAGTAAGATTAGAAAAAGTGAAAAAAAAATTTGCTTTTATGGGTAAAAATCCTCACTGTGGAATTGTGCGGCATGGTCTGATACAGAGGGGCAACAACTCCTTTTTTGCTTTCTCTTTTATGCTGGGTGAATGTACAAACTCATTTTGGAAAAGGCATGGGTGCATGAAGCAACTCTACCATCACCAGTGAGGTTCTGCTCCTTTCCACTTCCCATCCAACTTCTGTTTGGAACAGCATGTCTTACAACATGTCACTCCTAGATCTCCTTGCTAACACTGGCTGTCTCTAACACAGTGATGGTCAAATGGAAAAAATCAAGCCAGTTTAACATCAATGAGCTCTTACACTACAGCATGAGCAAGACATGGCAACTTGCTCCTGGGCTTAAATGTAATTGCACTTGTAGGTCTTCTCTCCAGCTGGATCACAAAGGGTAGATTGAATGTGATAGAGCAAGACTAAATAAATGAGTAGAAGTTCCTCTTGCTAGTTTTGTGTCATTTCAGCCAGGCGATAATCCTTGACTAAGTAAGGAGTCATTTTTTGTTGGTCACTGTTGAGACCCTTGTGGAAATCTGTGCAGGTTGCATATCACCTATCTGTACTAGACCAGAACTAACCCTTGCAATTTCATGGTTTTTGAAGGTGTACTACAGGCTATCCTGTGTCTGTGTAAGGAATTACGCAATGAAGCTGTCCGTATTTTTAAGGTATTAATAGAATGGAATAGAATCAGTTGCAAATTGATTATTTTTCTGGCAACATAGTTGACCTATAATGGAACACATTTAAAATAATCCAAGTCAAATGATGCAAAAATAACTTGTTTTAATTTTTAAAGAGGCAGTTTCCTACTAAAATATTGCCTTGGGCTCAGCTCATTGAAAGGACTTCAGCAATCTGCGTAGCTTTTCTGGCTGAGCAGCTGCATAGAGATACTTTAATGCCTTCAGGGTAGCTATGCATCATGACAGTGCCTTTGCCCCTCAAGTCATATCATTGCTCGAGTCTCAGTGAAGGCACAAACAAATTTTTCTTTTCTGATAATGACTTTGTGCATATTTGGCAGCTAAAGCCAAAGAGAAGTCAAGGTGAATTCAAACTCTTCCTTCTTTTCCTCCTCCCCCTCATCTCCAAAAGGATGAAAATCCAAGTGCTAAAAACCAGGAGAACCAGAGAGCCTGAAGGTTGTCATGAATGAAAATGTCTCCCTTTCCTCTCCCTTCTTATATGTGAAAATTCATACAGCACATTCCCATTCTCCATGGCACCCTGAGACAAGTTCATCAGCTGGAGATAAAAATGCAGATGAGCAGTTACATGTCACCTGGAGAGATGGCCAGAGCATTCTCAGGGTAGTTGTCAGGCTGTTGAGTCTATATCACAAGCAAATATGAGTGCCTGGTCCAAGTGAAAGGAGATGCTGGTTTTGAAATTGCTCAGTAAATAAAGAATAGGCCTTTGCACAGAAACATCTCATCCTGCTGCCTGCAATTGAAGTTTAATCTTCCTAAAAATACAGAGAAACATCCAGTATGGTCCAGGTAGTTGCATCCTTTGTATTGCTTGCTTAATCCCTAGCCCACTAGAGATACTTAAACCTGCACCTTTGTCTCTACTGGTATTATTTTAAGATTTCATGCCATGTGTCAAGGACCAAAGTAATTCCTCAGTAGTAATGATCTCCAAAGTGTTGTTTTAGACAGAGTTCAGCCATTTTTCAGTATCATCATGGCTTTACACTGCTTTAACAGGGTTTGGCTGACCTATTGGTTAAAGAGGAAGAAAAAGCTAGCGGTTAGTCTCTGATAGGTTTTCAGTTCTTTCAGATGTCGGTGGCCTACAGTACTGATCCAGGTAGAAGCAGAAGGCTTTAATGACAACAGAAGCAAAAAGGTCAAGCTCTGAACTTGTGCGGCCACTACTCTAATGAGGCCTCGGTAGGGAGCACCGTTCTTGAAGCTCAGCGCCAGCAGTGCTGCTCTGTCACCAGGAGGAGCCGGGAGGCTCAATGGTGTGCTAGCACATTTGCAGCTATCTAGAAAGATTGCAATTGTGTTGCTGCCATTAGGGAGAAACAAACCCAAGAACCTACCAACATTTATTAAAAAAAAATTCCCTGCAAAGTACAAATCAAGAAATATCACTTTATGATTTTGAGCTAGTGGTGTCAAGTTCTGCATTACACCTGGAAGTAATTGGCTAGATTCACACGTAGCTATTGTGCAAGTGATGGTCTCTCAAACTCCCTTGGGCACAAACCCTTCTAATAAAAACAAATAAAAAAAAAATCTCCTCCTTCTAAGTAATAGTTCCTTCCTTACCATCGGCTTCAAGATCTGATTCATTATATCTGGATACTGTATTTTCTCTCTAGTTCTGTTAAAAAATCTTGTTTGTAAGCTTCTAAAATGCTTCCAAATAAACACACTATCTATTCTACTTACATCGCACTTGCTTTTGCTTGGGACAGATTTTCTTCTCAGATCCCTAATCATTCTTGCAGTTCCCTGCCAGGCAGACTTCCACATCGCACAAATTGCTGTTGCAGTTTGCCCGCGCACTGCTTACATGCCAACTGGGCTGAAATTCAGCAGCGCAACCTTCAGCAAGTCATTTGGCAGCCAGAATCACTAATTTCGTAATGACTGAATACTTCTAAAGAGCCTAAACAAAATGGAAGGACCTTAAAGAACCTTTTTGATTCATGCAAGTCTCTTCTGATTCTTATCCTTCAAAATGCTATTGTAGTCTTGTAATAAAGGTGGCAATGGCCTTGCATTTAAAAACCTCCTGCGTTCAGTTGGAGAATTAATCGTTTCACTGGGTACAGCCACAGCTGGATTTTTAATCAAAGGAACCTTCTAGATCCCCACATCAGTATGTAATTGCAGTCTGTTTCTAGGGAGCAGAAACCTCTTGTTCAAGGGAATTTGGAAAGCTCCGGGAATTGCAAGTCAGTTAATCAGCATGCTGAAAAGATTAGGATATGAGCTGTGTAGAAAGCAAGTGATGGTACAGTTCATTCTGGGGGTGTTAGGTGAGCACAGCAAAGCAGGTAACAGCGCGAGCGTATGCCGAGTTAGGAGGTGTCTGTTGATCTGTCCAGTCTAAGCTGTAGGGAGATGCATAGGCTGCTGTTGCAAGTAGGCTGTGCAACAGAGATAAAGCTGAAGAGCTCTAGCTATAGTCAAGTCCCCAGGTAGCTTCGAGGAGTGTAGGTACTTACATGAGACAAGTAGATCAGTCTGTGTTCAGAAACACAGCTAAACAGCGATAATGGATTTTGCTACATTGGTTTGGGTAGAATGCTCTACAGAGATGTTTTTGCATGTGACATTCATGAAAGAGGCGTTATTACAGCTGTCTCTTGGAGCAAGCTGTGAGTGGCAGAATCTAATAATATTGTAATAAGTCCCATCCCCGCTTCAGTCTCCTGGCAGACTGAAAGCACCGCAACTTGTTGAATTTTTTTTTACCAGTTCTGAAAAGCTGCTATGCTTTAAAATCCTTAATAACCAAGTGCTGCTTATTATGCTTATACCATGTGGGAGTTCACTTCAAGGCCTTTGTGTACAAAGACATGCAACAAAGATTTTTTTTTTTCTTTTTTTTTATCCTAAGTGCGTGTAAAGTCAAGCCACCATCAGACAGCAGAAGGACCTATGGTGTCATTGGACTGCAGGAGCAAGCAATCTAATTTAAGGTCATGGACCAGCTTTCACACTTAAATTCTCCTGCTTTTAGATGACATGAAGTTGTCTCAAGTGTTTGTTCCATCATCCAAATTGAAGTGCTTCAGATATATGTGTAGACCCAGATGTTTTGTCCGTAATCTTGAAAATGTGAAGAAACAAAACATTTGTATCTGCATTTCACTGTTCATTTGGGCAGCTGGAAGCTTACGGGTGCGCTCAGTAAGCGATGTTGGCTTTCGCCTTTGTAAATACATTTTTCATGTGTGATCTGTTTCTCAGAATTGTCAGTTTTTAGATTATTTCGCCCTTGAAGAGGAAGAAGGAAAAAACCCACTTAGCATTCCTGTCTAAAATATTTGTCACGTTATTTGGGGGAAGGCATTGTTATAAGGTATTACAATCCTAGAAGCATTTAAAGGGTGGCTACAGTATATTCAGCTGTTTGGCTGGAAAAATGACTCTCAGACTGTTGAAGTC